TTTGACTCATTCCTACATTAGTTTGGAGTTAAAAAAAGCTTCTTTGTAAAACGTTGTCACCGTTTTGCTCCTTCGAAAACTTGATCAAAAGGATATTACTAACAATGAAAGTATGCTCAAATACGATTGGTCGGCAAATAGATCAATCAAATTTGAGCATACTTTCATACCCTAGAATCTCTTCAATTCAATGACGAAAATCTCAAGTTTTTATCCCCTTTCGTTCTCGAGTTATTGAGACGACAATCGCATACGGGCTCTTTGGATGGGACACTTACTGTAGTGCTCCAACAACGGGATTACTAAGTACTCCAGAGATAAAAGTTTTGAATCGAAAAGCAGCCCTTCACTCCAGGACGAGGCGAAGTGGTATAGGTAGAAGGAGAGTATTCCAGAAATTGTAGAAAATTCTCCAAAATTTTTGAAAAATTAGAAAGTTTTCTGCAATTTTTCAAAAATGGGGAGGGGGGGCGGAAGAATCTCCGAACCTCTCAAGTTCGCGCCGACTCCATCCCGACCTTCCTCTGCACCTAAGGATATGCCATAGAAAATTTGTTGACGCTGGCTCTTACAGGGACCAAATGCATAAAGAATAGACAAACATTCTTCTTTATATATATAGAAGATAGATATATATAAAGCACATTGTAATGTGAATACACTAGACCTGTTGCAAGATGAAAGAGAAGGAGAAAGAGAAAGAGAAGAATATTCAAGCTTGTAACGTGCACAGAGGGAAGATAGAGAAAAACAATATTTTCCTGTTCCTCGTGTATATATATATATACGTCACTGACCACGTTAAAACCGAATGATACGTTAAGAGAACGATATAGCAAGAAAATTCACTTTTTTTTCTGTCTCTTTCGTTCTATTCAAATACGATAATATGTGCTTTGGTTTCCTTTATGCAGTAGACAGCGTATGATCGATCCATCAGCGAAACAAATCATTGCTTACCTAAGAAAATGAAAATTTAAGGTAGCTTCTATATAACTATAACCAAAGCATATATTTATTAGATAAAATAAAAAAAACATAATAAGAGTCTTATCACAAGAGATAAAAATGAAATCAACTAAACACAGCAGAGCGATGCACTAGTTAAAAAATTCAGTTTAGTTGAATAGTTTTTGTTTTTTGTTATTGTTTCTAATTGATTACAATCCTTTAGCAGCGGTCATCTAGAATATAGATTTTATTAGGTAAGAAACATCTTTGTTTGTTAACTTGTTAAAAATTTCCTTATCTTTCTTTTATAAAATTCTTTCACATTCTTTCAACTATCTTCGGCCGCTGTGATTTTGTCTATATATATATAGAACATCGAAAGCATGAAAGAGACATTATTTCGGCTATTAGGACTTTCAACCCATCACTGTATTTACAGTTTTCACTCATTCCGAGTAAGTAAACAATATACATTCGATATATGAACATTCAAGCCTTGAAATGAAGTATTAATGAGATTTTAAATCATCAGTATATAAAAGCCTTTCACCATTAGAACATGATCAACTTGAAGTGTTAATTGATTCTGATATACTTACCATAGCGTCCTATGTGCTTGATTTCAGAATATTTATAGTTTGACACTATACCGGGTGTCACAGAAGTTTTGCAACATCTTATGTTTTTCGAATATTTCGGCCTAGATACAACATAGATTATTCAATCTGTTTTCAAAAGATGCGCAAATTGATGTTGACCCTATTTTGCAGTAGTGAAATTCTAAATTTCTAAAAGTCAAACACTTCGATGGAATCAAGTTCAACCATTTCCCACTGAATTTTGGAATTGTTCGTGTGTAGAATCCCAACAAATATCGGGCTCATAAAATACGATTCATCAATAGGTTGTCCTTAAAAATGTCTACTGATTGCTTATACTTAGATATTTTCATTGCTACCTTCTACTCGTTGAATGACATTTTTTTTGAAGTCATATTTCGAAAAATAGCGCGATTTCCCCCTGTCTTCAGAAAAAAACTATGAGAAAGCCATTTATCGCTCAGAAAAGATCATTAATATAAAGTTTTATGCGAAACGATTTGTCTTTCTTCCTACCAAAAACAGTGAACAAACATTTTTATAGGGTTAGGAAATAGTCAATTGCTGCAAAGGAGCGATTTTCATGATCAAAATTAAATAAAAGAATTTTTGGTTACATCAACAGAACAAAACTATTTAACAGATACCGGGTGGAGAAGATATTATATATCTTGGAAAGAGTTGTTGATACACTATCGAAAAATGAATACCTTATCTTCTCAGTATTTGTCGTTAGCACAGAAAAAAATTCGTAAAACATTCTGAGAATCAATCGGAAGTGGTTGAACTTGTATCATCGAAGTGTTTGACCTCTAGAAATTTAGAATTTCATTACTGCAAAATATAGTCAGCATCAATTTTGTAAAGAACTAAACTGCACATCTTTTGAAAACAGATTTTAAATAATCTATGTTGTATCTAGGCTGAAATATTTGAAAAACATAAGATGTTACAAAACTTCTGTCACACTCGGGATTGATAGTTTTGGAGTTAGTTCTCAATAGTTTTCTGGGAACTCACCTCAAAAGTATTACAAGGAGTTCGTGGCGTAATAGATGCAGAATTTCTGTTCTGCGAAGTCCTCTCTATGCCGTAACTACTATCTATTTCAAAACAATGGGTGTGATTGCAATTCGCATAACTCCGAGGCCTTACTGGCAACTGATCTGCGATTTTCATCGTTGTGCAGGCAGACCTTTGGGACGTGGACCTACATAAGATGGAAGTTTTTTTATGATTTCTTCAAAGGTTTTCTAGAGGGATCTCTGGAAAACCGTTTCATTATCCGAAACTTTAACAAAGCAATATGTTAGCTTTTGTCATGGGAAGGTAGTCTTAAGTCTCATCTTCAAAAGAGGAGTCAGTTGGATCTTCATTTCCAGTGGTTTAGGCATGATATCGGGCTTTCTTGTAGCCCCAGGACTGGTATTAGGTGACTTCAGGTGGCCTTGAGGTTGTGTAGAACATACGTAATGGATCAAGCTGAATTTGATGATAATGTTTGTTTTGAATAACAGATCAAGAATAAGGTAAAACACAAGTTTTATAAACATTAGTTGAACGAAGATTTCTGGAAAACTTTTTGTAAAATAAGATTTTAGTACCTTTTTTTTGTTAGTTTTCATCAGCGTTCAACCAATGTTCATAAAACCCGATATCATGTCTGAACCACTGAAAATGAAGATCCAACTGACTCCTCTTTTGAAGAAAACATTTAAGGCTATCTTCCCATGACAAACGCTAACGTATTGCTTTGTTAAATTTTCGGATAATGAAACGTTTTTCGAGAGATCTGTGTAGAAAACCTCTCGCAATCACACACATTCTATTTTGAAACGGATAGTGCATAGTATTTTATTCCTTTTAGACAGCATGGACTAGCCTACAAATCGAGTAGAGCATGTGGTGAGGGTGATTATTGAAAACTGCCTTCCTAATATGCAGTCCATTTAGACCGGTGTCAGCTTCCTGTTCCGACACTAAAAATTGACTGTTTTCAATAATTTGTGTGAGCTATCGACAAAAGTCGAGTCGAATGAAACATATTTCAAAATTTTCAGTAATTCTCCGACATTCAAAAAAAAAACTAACGTAACTGAGTAGAATAAGAAGGTCCATCTAGGCATGCATCAGTTAGCTGTAAAGCTGTGACTGTCATAAATTTTATAACTAGGGATGACACTTTCTCTTTCCCAGGAAAAAAGGAAAGTAAAAATTGACTTTTCTTTCTTTTGGGAAAGGAAAGTTTTTTACTTTCCCGCTTCCCTTTCCCCCCCAAAAAGAAAGAAAAGTATGATATAACTTTCTTTTGTGTTTTTCTCGATGAAGATTTTATTGGAAAATCAAGTCCATAGTCGTGATAAACGTCGAAAACTGGATCAAGTGATGCGTTTTGCTAAAACTTGCCGAAAAACGTTTTTTCCCTGCAAAAAACATCACCTGATCCAGTTTTCGACGCTGATCACGACTATGGGCTTGGTTTTGCAATAAAATCTTCATCGAGAAAAACACAAAAGAAAGTTATATCATACTTTTCTTTCTTTTTTGGGTGGAAAGTAAAGTAAAAACTTTGCTTTTCCAAAAAAAAAGAAAAGTCAATTTTTACTTTTCTTTTTTTTCGGAAAGAAAGCGAAAGTGCCACCCAATCACTTTAGAGTATTTGCCTACAGTTATGAACAGTTACAGTTATCAGCAGTTTTACAATTACAGCTAACTGGTGCATGTCTAGGTCCATCATTGGACTCGGTTTTTGACGCTGATTCCGAATATGATATTTTCATTGTGAAACAGTTCAGCTGTGATCGAGAAAGTTGCGAATTAAGGAGAGAATTTCGATTTTCCCCAATAACATCGACTTTTCCGAACGAGGAAAGAAAATTTGAAAAAAAACGAGTTACATTTTTGTTCTATGGATCAAGACGAATCGAATGACGCAGGAGTCAAGGCTCCAGCTCTTGAGAGAAAAAAACGAGACAGGTTTGCAAAATGAGGGGTTGTATTCGGAGCTATGCGTGGAAGTGCATTTTTGAGACTGGTCACATTATATCTTGAGAGGTCAAAAAACACAGTATTGATTTTCGATGCTGAATAGGAAAAAGAGCGTTTCAGAGTTTTAAAATAAATAGGAAAAAAAATATTCAAATTTTTCGAAATGAGAAGACCTTTTAAAATTTTGTACACCTTCACATATTTTGACTTTTTCTTCATAAAGATCTCCGTTTGAAACAAAAAATGAGATGATATTCGAATTCAGCATCAAAAACTCTATCGAATGATGTATGAATAAATTAAAATTAACCATGTGAAAATTTCAAATTCAGTGTGTCTTAGTTTATTTTTTATTTTACCTATCAACATTGAATTTAAATGTTTGATTTATGATTTATTAAGAGACGACTATAACAAATACGCTTAGAAGATCAGTCAAGTGAAGTACTTAAAAGAATTGAAATGAAGTTTTTTAATCACAAACAAATTCAAGAATTAATGCCAATGAATAAATGTATTGAAACAATGGAAAAAATGTTTGAAATGTTTTCAAATAACATTGATCATACATATTTTTCATTTCCTGTTAGAACAGCATTACATGTACCTCAATCATTAATTCCAAAAACATATGAAAAGCAAATTTCAATATTAGGATATATGCCATCATTTGCAAACTTATCCGAATTACAATTAAATATGGATTTTAAATCTTTTATTGCAACAAAAATCATTACTGTATATATGCCAAGTGAAAATACACATTTAGGATTAGTTTTATTATTTGAAGCAATTAATGGACATCTTATTGGCTTATTTGATGCAAAAACAATTACATCAATAAGAACTGCAGCATGTTCAGCAGTTGCAGCTAAATATTTATTAGATATTACTAATTATCATCATCATTTGAATATTGCAATTATTGGAAATGGTGAACAAGCTAGAATGCATACACTTGCACTAGCATACGCTTTTATATCAACAAATTTATTTCTAAACATTATAATAACAGGTCGAAATGAGATAAAATTAAATAATTGTGTAATAGAAATTCAAAAATTATTAAACGATAATAAACTAAATAAAAGAATTGATGTAAAATATTCTATTAATATTGAACAAACAGTATATTCTTCAAATCTTATATGTACTGTAACATCTTCACAAACGCCAATATTAAATCATAAATGGGTTAAACATGATACAGTAATTATTGCTGTTGGTGCATGTAAATCAACATTTAGAGAAATTGATAGTGATCTTGTTCGTGATAGTATTCTAATAGTTGATCATAAAGAGTCTGCTCTCAAAGAAGCTGGTGATATATTAATTCCAATTAGTGAAGGAATTATAACAGAAACACATATTTTTTGTGAACTTGGCGATATTATAACTAAAAAAAAGATTTTACCAAAAACAAATTCAAATATAATATTATTTAAATCACTTGGACTAGCAATTGAAGATTTAATGACATGTGTACAAATTTATTCCGATGCATTAAAATATACTGATTCAACTTTATTTTATACACTTCTTAATGTTGATTCTATTTGTACACAAAATGTTATTGAAGATATATATCCATTTCCACAATTACATCATATTTATAATGCACAAAAGACAATAGAAAATATTAGTAAACAAACTCCACTTGTACTATTAAATGATTCAAATTATGCGAATATGATATATTTAAAATTAGAAAATTTACAACCAATTGGATCATACAAGCTTAGACCAGCTGCCAATGTTCTTCTTGGAATAAAAGAGAAAAATTTAGATATGTTTGATCATATTCAAAAAACAGGTGTTGTCACATGTTCTGCTGGAAATTTTGCACAAGGTATAGCATATGTTTGTAAACAATTAAATATACCCTGTACAATTATTATTCCATCACATGCACCAGAAATAAAACGAAATGCTATATTACGAATAAATAATCAAGTACAACTTGTTACTATGGAAATGAATGAATATTGGAATACATTTATTAATGAAAAATATAAAGAAAATGAATCACTCTATTTTATTTCACCAGGCACTAATCCTTATTGTATGGCAGGTAATGGAACTATAGCTTTAGAAATTCTTCAACAACTTCCAAAATCTGTTCCACTAGATAAATTAGTCGTATTAGTTCCATATGGTGGTGGTGCAATGACTCTCGGCATTTGTATAGCACTTAAATCAATAAATCCTAATATACAAGTGTATGCTTGTGAAGTTGAAACAGCAGCACCATTATATGCCTCTCTTAATGCTGGAAAACCTACGGAAATAGTATATAATCCTTCATTTGTTGATGGCATTGGAGCTAAAGAAGTGCTTCCAAATAACTTTTATAAGCTTAAACAAATTCTTAATGGATCATTAGTAGTGAGTTTAAAAGATGTTTCACATGCTCTTAAATTATTAGTAGAACGAAATCATGTTGTGGCAGAAGGTGCTGGTGCTACATCTGTTGCAGTAGCATTAAAATATTTTTCATCAATATTTAATCAAAAAGTAATAGTATGTGTCATTTCTGGAGGTAATATAGATACAGTTAAACTTATTCAAGTTCTTACTGATAATTTATAGATGATTTATCAAAATTCAATATATTCAAATAAACTTTTTATTATACACATTTCTGTTACGCTAATAAGAATGTTTTGCTATATTTCAACGTTTTATTAAATTAATTTTTTCCTATCTATGTATGTGTTAAAGTGTCGAAGCCATTTTTAACAAACGTTTTTTTATAAATTTTTGTAGAAGTATTTGTTTGAAATTTCATAAAAATGATCCTGATAATAAAATAAACGATATACGGTGTGGCAAGCTAACGGTCCACCTTCGAATTTGAAGCTTCGAATTTTTGTTTTAACTTGAGCAAAGCTTAAAAACACATCATTCAGTGTGGAGACATATTCCGATGGGGATATCATTTTTTACAGCCAACTTTTTTTTATATCTCGGACGGGATACAGTTTGAAATTATATCTCGATCAGGAATATTCTTTCTTTTTTTCTTTCTTTCTTTCTTTCTTTTTTATCTGGCAGAGAACTGTTTTTTTCATCTAAATAAAATTACAGAACCAAAATCTTAAATAAAAAATAATAAAAAATATAAAATATTATAAAATAATGAATCTTCTTTTTTTTTTGATAAGATCCTACAGCTGTCGGTGATTTTGAGGTAGGTGTGAAAAAACTCAAGCGCTCATAAAGCCTGATCAATTCTTTAGTGGAGAAAGAAACCAGACCTGGTCAGCAGTCAGAAATGAATTGTAAAATTTCTAAGGTAGCCTGTTTTGTAGTCCATGAAATTTCTCTGCCAGATAAGGTATTGCTTGAATCTTTTTGTTGAGTCGTTATTTTACAAATGGGACTTGAAGCTGGTAGAGTAGCGTAAATTAACGTTAATTAGTACTAATTAGTCAATAACAGGAAAAAAAGAGCAAAAATTTTTACATATTTTCTTGTAGTAAATAGTCTTCACACATTTCTCTGTCGATCTAGGCACGAACCAGGTTTTTATGATGAATGGAGACTGGATAGGAAATTTTGTAATAATAACCCCGTGCATTTAACAACATTTTTTTAAGTAATTAATGTTTTTCTCAGCTAATAATGTAAGTAAGCTGAGAAAACTACAGGACATATACTTCGAAGTATCCTTTACAAATTGGGAGCGTTAGAGGAGAATCTAAATGGGGGGTCCGCCTCCTTAAGATGGATCAAATGAAAAGTAATTCAATCGAGTCATTGCACAACTTCAATCATTGCGCAGAATATAGGAAAGAACAGCGAGGTTGATTTTTGCAGTTCGTCTGCAAAGATCAACTTCGTGTGTTCGATCCTAGCTTCGTGCAAGGATTGATTTTGTGTTTTGATAGTTTAAGTTTCAGAATGATATAATGGGAATTTATATTCTCGATTCCTTCTAGTTCAAGATTACAGGCTTAAACCAAAGTAATTGAAGGTGATGAAATTCAACGATGGCTGACAACGGAATAAAAGCATGGTGAAAGCTTCTCGAGAAGAAATAATTAGTGTGAGAGAACGATGTAACCTCAATATCATTTCCAGAAATCGATGACCATCTTCAGTGTTTACCTGGTAACACTTACTTTTATTATATGGTGAAAGTTACTCAAAACACGATTGCTTATAAACTCAATAACTGCGAAATCAAGTAAAATATACAAACAACTGTAAAATATCTTATTTGGTTGAATAACAAGTATCGTTGACACGTGTGTTGCGTGTGTAATCAGATAATTCGCATTAAGATCCGGAGCCCTCGTTTACTCGTGTACTTTCGTGCTTCGAACCATTTGACTAAATCAATACCATCATACTGAACTTCATAATGTAATAGCGTACGTTTCTGTTCATCTTAATCATCAATATCAGCACCTACTATCCCCGTCAAAGTACCAAGCACTTCGTTAATACAATACAATAGTTTTGGATAAGGAATAGCTAGAAAGCTACGGTTTTGGCCATTCAAATGAGGAGACCGCATCTTTTCATAAGAGAAAACGTTTTGAAAGAATTCCTGAAACTGTTTTTCCAGGGAATCTTCAGAAAAGCAGATTATAGTGGAAAAAGTTAGAATAGACATCCATTGACTTATTTCATGGGAAGGTAGTGTCCTCTTCAAAATCGGAATTAAGCGAGATCTTGATTGCCAACAACTTAGGTGGTGTTAGATGGCTTGGGAGAAGCTTAAAGCTATATGAAACATGGAATTTTGACTGTGTTGAACCATGCGGCAATGGTTTTTTCATTAAAAACTCGAAAACCTAGTAAAATTTCTACTCTACGTGAAGTAATTCAGTTTAGGCTATTGCAAAAGTAAAAAATTCGTGGTTCACTCAAATCAGCTCAAAACACTTTGAAAATTCAAGATGTAGTCTATGTTAGATGCTTTATATCAGAGTGTGGTTCAAAATGTGTATGTGTGCTTTGGAAGTTTTTCGGTAAACTCTGTAAGAAGATCTAAGACATTCTCATTGCACGTATCGTACTTTCAGCTGTACCGACCTGCAAAGCATCTAATATAGACTACATCTTGAGTTTTAAATCGTGCTTTGAAAGACGAAAATTGTATTTAGGTATGCACTAGTTGCAGTTTTTAACTGTAAGAACTGGAACTGTTAGGAACTGTTTGAAAAAAATTTCAAAATGAATTCAAAAGAAATTATAAATTCTATTGAAGAAAATGCAGGTAAAAACTCAAAAGTCTTTTAATAGGAACGCTTTTTGAAGCTGGAATTTATGGACTATAAGTAATCGATTTTGGCACTTATAAAGGGACGGCTCGTATGATTCATATAACTCACTGACGATTTCTACGAAGCCTTATGATTTACTGCTGATTTTTGAACTTCTTATGCATCTCTAAGTGGAGCCACACTTCACAGAGGTTGTCATGAGTTATATGAATCACAGAAGTGCTATCCATTTCAATGAACAATGCACTCGGTTGTAAGTTATTTTTCAGTTTTGAAGCAAATCAATTTGCTAGATTAAACTTTTTTGAAATATCGACTCAATACGCCGCGTAGCGCGACATAGCGTGCAAATATAAAAATTTCAGAAATATTCAATTTAATCATTTCAATCGCTTCAAAACTGAAAATAAACATCGCCACTCGACTCAGCATGGTCGATTACCCATATTTCGAGGTTTTTTGGAGTGATCCAAGGTCAGCTGATCGAAATCGGGGCACTCAGGAAAATGCTTACAGTTCCTGAAGAGAACAAGCTGACGAGCTGGGCCTTGTGTAGATCGATAGAGAACAATTTTCTCTATCCGAATGGTTGTATTATAATTTCAAATCCAACGGCGAACCTTTTCACTAGGCAGTGTTCAACATGTCAACTGAAAGCTCACCTGATTGGTCAGTTGTCGACCAATCAGTTTTCGATATTTCTGTATACAGAAATATTATTCTCTTTCGAATGTTGAAAATCGCAGGTATCTAGCTGTTTCCTATCCGGAGTTATTCAACTTACAACCGAGTGCATTGTTCATTGAAAGGGATAGTAGTCCCTTAGTCAGGATAGTGTATGAGTTGCATAATCGACTTCAGCTTCAAAAACCGTCCTGTTAAAAGACTTCGAGTTTTTACATACAGTTCCTGACAATTCCAGTTCTAAGCAGTCCCACTGAACTGGAATAGGAATACGATAAAATGCGAATTTACAAATTCTATTTATGAATTCGTAGATGCCAAAGCATATCCGACGTATTCGTAAATAGAATTCGTACATTCGCATACTTCTCACTTCAATTCGCCGTTAGTTTTATGAATTCGTATAATACGAATTGATATCAAGGACAAGAAATTTTTCTGAGGTCAAGAAAACAAACAATCGTCTCTTCGCTTCAATTCGTCCAATCCTTTCATCAATTCGTCGATAGTTTTTCGCGAAAGAAAATAGAGAGGAATCTTTCTCCTTTTTGTATGCATGCGGGGGGGGGGGGGAGGGGGGGGGGGGGGTGGTTTTTTACCCGGCCTCCCAACGGGGTTGCTTTTTTTT